GTTTTTCGCAGCCTATGATCACAAATGATCTACAGAAAGTCTACACGTGGAATATACGCGATAAGCAACCTGAAATAATGGGCAGCTTACCCAGGATAAGGTCTGTAAGATGAATGTGGTGGGCAAAAATCTTTAGACACAATATGCTCGACATGCTCGCCGAGAGTGATCGCTTTATTGTTTCCACTTCCATTTCCACTCGCACCGCTACCAGCACTGCCCCCGTCGCCAGCTGGACTATGTGCGATACCATTAGATTCTTGCGTGGCTTCACGATGAAATCCCTACGAACAGTATTCTTTTATAGTAAACGAGTAGTCGCTGTGTGATTCAGTCTGCCATCGTAATGCAGACTACAGTAAAGCGTGAGAGAAAAAGAGAAAGAAATAGAACGTTTATCTACCTGAAAAAGTCGATCACCAGCCCGCGTAGGCTGATTAGCAGAGGATCCACTTCCGCCAGAACTCTCAACGCTCTGATTGATTTGATGAGTTATGATGGCATCTATTAGACTAGCGGCGGTTAGAGTCGATGACGAGTCGTTCTGCTGTTGGCTGGACGACTGACTCTGCCTGGACGATTGTTGCTGCTGCTGTTGCGACTGCTGTGACTGCTGTGACAGCTGCTGCGTCAGTCGCGGCGACTGCGAGAATCCACTGTTCACTAGTCGCGACGCGTCTCTGTCAAGCTGTTGGTGCTGCTCTCTGTACAATTGTTGCACTATGTGCCTTCTTTCCGCTTCTATGCGCTGCTGCTGCATATGCTGCTGGATCTGATGTTGTTGCTGCATCTGCTGTTGCTGCTGCATCTGTTGGAGGTGCGCCAAGTCTCGCTCGCGCTGGATGTCCTTCTCGCGTTGCTGATGAATCGTGAGTCTCTGCTCCTGCTGTTGTATCTCTTTTTCGCGATGCTGCTGCACAATCAGCCTATGCTCCTGATGTTCTTTCTCGCGTTGCGCCGCAGCGGCCACCACCATTTGATGGCGCAGCTCCTTCTCTCGCTGTTGATGGACGGTAAGCCGATGTTGTTCATGCTGTATTTCTTTCTCCCGTTGCTGCATGGGCAAACGGTGTTCAACGTGCTGCATATCTTTCTCCCGCTGTTGCGCCAGACGCACGTGCTCCTGCTGCTGGATCTCTTTCTCACGCTGCTGCACCACCAAACGATGCTCAAACTGCTGCAGTTCCTTCTCTCGATGCAAGCGGTGCTCTTCTTTCTCGCGCAGATGCACCAGGTCGCGCTCCCTCTCGCGGTCGCGCTGATGGTGATGCGCCACCGCCATTCTGTGTTCCTGCATCACCATACGATGCTCCTGCATTCGCATCTCTTGCTCGCGGAACGCTCTGTTGTTGTCCACGTAATGGTCGGCCAACAGTCGATCCGCCATGGTCTTGCCGAGACCCTCGTGACCACCGCTGCCTGATGCTGCCGTCGGATGACTGTGTGGGTGCGGTACAGGAAGACTAGGTTGTTGAACCGCCACGTCTACCAGACTGGAGAAGGCTTCTAAACCTGGTGGTGGCTGATAGTGTAACTGTTTTTGAGTGTTGTGCCTCTGTATGACACCCTGCCGTGTTTGCGTATGCGTCTGAGGTGGCGGCGGTGGTGGCGGAGTGCTAGCGTAGTATAACGTCGAAGGAGGTGGTTGCTCGTTACTTTTGCCTGTAGCAGTCTCACCAGCGCTGCCAGATGCGCTACCTCTCGCGCGCGCATGCATCTGTTGGCTGGTAATGTAGTCGTTCATAATAATCTGCCGTGAGGACAATTGCTGTTCCATGGTGTAGCTAGGTGGCGGCCGACCTGAGTACGAGTTATACTGACCGCTGTGACTCACTACTACGGCAGCTGACGCGGGCTGACCACCTGGACCCTGTCCCGGCGGTGGCACGCTTCCTCCGCCGCCACCGGTTACAGGGGAATGTCGGATGGTGCGATAGTCGTACATGGGTGCACCGCGTTTCTCCACTGCGAACGGGTGCACCGGTGTACCCTGAGTAATCGAGCCCGTCTCTTTCGGACCTTGACCGCCGCCGGCACCGCCGCCACTGACGTTGACGACACTGCCGCCGCCGCCAGCTCCGGAGTTCGCGACGCTCACCGTCGGCGGGTTGCCGCCGGCGGGCGGTGTCATTTGTCGCAATAAACCCTCGTAACGAGCGGTAGATACGGGTGTGCCATGCGTGATGGAGCCACCCTTATGCCCCGGTGTACCCATGCTGCCTAGTTTCGGTGATAGTTTGGGATGAGGTGGTGGCACGGTCACCTTGTTCATCTTCGAGGTGATCGGCGGTGCTTGCGGTCGTGGTGACGACGCATACACAAGAGGACTCTTTGCGCCACGACCTTGTTCCGTATGAGGCGCGTGAGGGTGATAGTATGCGCCTGATGGCGGCTCCGGCCGATACAGTGTACCGGTTGGTGGCTTGTGCAACGGCTGCATCGAATGATTGTACTCCCGTTGTTGCCGCGGCTTCTTTATACTGAGGTCAAGCGTACCCTCAGTCTCTCGAAGTGCTTGCTGCACTTGCATCACGACCAAGCCTTCCTTAGGGAATATGTCCGACGACGAGGTTTGACTGCTGGGTGCAGTAGGGGGACAAGGAGTAATAGTAGCTTGCATTTGAACTGAAAGAAGAAAAGGAAGGAAATTAATCGTGTATTCTTTTATATAAATCACGGCCAGTTTTATTCTCTAAATTTCTTGGAATAAAATCTCACTCGAAATGAGCAAAAATGCACTCAAAACGATAGTGCAAATACATTTGGAATCGCAAGAATGAATGTTTAACTTGATCTTAGAATAGATTCTTACGGACGAATGAATTTATTCTTGTGACAGTAGAATACATCAGATTCACTCTTCGATACTCTCGAATGAAAATGTTCACTCGACTTATCCAGTGGAAAGAATTTACTCTATATGAATAAAAAGTCGAATTCGAATAACTCGATTGACACTCTACTTTTTAAGCAAAATTTCATTCCAGAAAGGAAGAGTACGTTGCTGCATTTAAAGAATACGTTGCTGCTGCAACAACAAATTCGAATTATATAAATGATACTGTCGGTGAACATACCGAGCTGTGGGCTGGGAGCAGAACGATGACTGTGATGTGGTCCAGACACAACAGATAGCGTCGCCAAATTCGAGTCTCTACTGGACATTGCGGTGTTCGTCATGCTTGAAGACGGCTTATAGTCACGCAAAAATGTTATTTCGTGACGATGAGGATCTGATTTTAATATACTGGTTATCGTCGGCGTGACAGAACTACTGGAACCGGACGAGCCACTATCGGCTGGACTATTTGGTACTGTACGCTTCAATTGCATCTCAATGACGCCAACCATAAGATCCTTCACAGTAATAGGGCTTGCGGTGCTCGTCGTAGAAGGTGGAGAATGGACTACGGGCGGGACTTGTGTTTGTTGTGGTTGTGGTTGTTGTTGGTGCTGTTGGTGTTGTTGCTGCTGCTGCTGCTGTTGTTGCTGTTGCTGTTGCTGCTGCTGCTGACTCTGTTGTTGCAACGACGTTGTGTTGCTGGCATTTGTTAGTGTTACCACAACGCTGCTATTATCTAAGTCAGCACCTCCCTGACCTTCGTCCGCTGTCTCCTGAAACAATGAGCGCACCTCTATCAGACGGCCCTATCGCGCAAAAGCATTGCTTTAGATTTTAACTAATTACTGTTGCCAAATCTAACGAAACAAAGAATTAATAAAGTGTATCTTAAAGAGATATTTTAATGAACTCCATTGACGATGTTATTTATTAATGCGATTTAATACTGCAATTCTAGACAAAATCGTAAAACTCGTAACTTGTTTTCGTAAGATTCGTAAGAATTTATATAGATCTGCAATTTTATGCGGACCATGTCATATGATAACTCATAAATATCTACGAATTTTTTTTTGTTTTTTTCGTAAGCTACAACTTCACGATTTTACGATTTACTCGTATATTTGCTTAGAATTGCAGCATAAATTTAAGTTACAATTCGGAACAATGAATGTCGGAAGACATTAAGATATTAAAAACTTGAAAAGAATATACGATAACAATTGAACGTTACGCCAACAAAATGAACTATTCGTAATAAGGCATGTGCGGTATAAACAACACGAGCTTTTTGAACGAATTAAGAGCTTTGTCTTACCGTGGCTGAACTATCATAATCCTCTCTGGCGCCACTTGATGCTGTAGCAGTACCTGAACTGCTGGAAGACTGATGAGACGATCCAACGGACGGGACTAGGGATACCACAGCTATGTCCGAGAGTTTTTCTCCAAGCTTCTGGTCTGTGGATCGTTGGAAGGACATCGGTAACGAGGATGACGTTGAGGAACCACCAGGTACCACAGGCGCACCACTCGTCATGGTGTTCGCTGGACTTCCCGCGCTAGCTGTATCACTCGAGTCATGAACCTGTAAAAGGGAAGATTGGGAGACCACACTTTCCTGCATGTATATGTGTGTATAGATATTGTGATATATATTATATACATACATACACAAATATTATTTATATTATTGTTTGATATTTTATTTATCTTTGACACGTGCGAGATTTAAAAAATTATCCTCCGCAGAAATAATTATTCAAGACTGACAAAAACTTTACTCTTTATTCGGTGCTTATGGAGAGACTTTTGAATCGACCTAACATTTCAGTAGCTGTTAATAAAAAAAGTAATAATACGTAGGTTAGTAAAAAAAATTCTATGCAAGAACATCACTAGTGTTTGAAATTTGAGCCAATTGTACAATAAACTTACGGCTAATTCATCGCAACTACTCGTACTACTTCCACTCTCCTCCTCGTCAGTTAAACACGGTCGACGCTCTTCCCCTAGTGATTGGTAATACTCAGCTACGACCTGATCGAGACTCAGCTTCTTTCGGTTAGCGAAGTAATAGTTCTTGCATTGATGATTCGTCTTTCCGGGTATCTGCTCGGCGACCTTCAGCCAATTGGTGCCGTGTTCACGAAGCGCCCTACGAAGTAGTTCCAACTCTTCATCAGCCCATTGGCGTGACATTAAATCGGTTACGTCGTCGGACGCTTCGGCACCACCGGTGAGATGCGCCAACAAACGTCGCGATATTCGACTGAAGCAGACCGAGCAGCATTTCGTCGCACTATTCGGGATTTCTGTAACAAATGGAATGGAATGTTCAATATACGTCAGATATTGATTTTCATTGATTTCCATTCGATAATATATATATATATATATATATATATATATATATATATATATATATATATATATATATA